AATAATAATAATAATAATAATAATAATAATAATAATAATAATGTAATAACAACGGTAATAAATCATAATAATAAACTAAAAATAATATAACAAATGATAAAACTGGGAAAAAAATAGCCAAAACCGCAACTGATATGTTAAAATGAGTATCCAGTGAGTTATGTTTGGTTTTAAAAAATGAAAGCCATAAATATTTGCGCAGTTTCAAGTCCATCCTTTCAGCAGCTCTTGGATCTGAAAAAGCAATGTGATAAATCTATACTCAAAAAAATATTATTACTTCACGACATTTACAGTGATAGACCAGTGGAGCTTGCTAATTTACTGTCTTCACCTTGCCAATGTACAGGTTCAAATCTGCCGAGATCCAACATTCCATGTAAGTTTTAGGCTTCTACACTTATGCAGTTCAAATTCACCGAGATCTAACATTTCAAATCACAAGGTAAGGTGGCACGATGGCCAATTTTTATCCCATGTTAATGATGTTACTGAGATGGAGTGCATCTTATATTGGAATATCAACACTCTGGACAATCGTAATGGTAAGAAATGTATACAACTTAATGGATCGAAACATTTCTTAAATTTTTCAACGTTTTATTAATTTTTCTTTTAATATAAAAATATTCTATTTTATTTTATTTACTTTATTACTAGCACAGACTACAAAAAAAAAAAAAAAAAAGAAAAAAAAACACTATTTCGAAAGAAAAAAAAACCCACTTGTTCAACAGTTTTCATTGATAACTGCGGATATTTATTCTCCGGGTCTGCAACTTTATTATAAATGATGCCATAAGCGGCTACAACATTTTCAGCTGTTCTTTCACGTACCAAATCTCTGAAATATGAATATTTTTCAAGCAAATTCATTCGTCCCACAACTGGGAAGACCGTAGTTATTAGCTGCTGCTTTTGCTTTCTTCATTTTTCAACACAGAAATGTCAGATGGGCTAATTTTCCTTTTGAAAAAAACAATACATTCCGCCAATCACTCAACTCATATAATCGATTTTTTTCAGCGCTTCTCTCCAAAAATTTCAATGCCGCCTGTAATGAAGAATGAGCTGGATGCTGACCATAGGTCACATAGGCGGATTCAGTGCTTTTCGCCCCTCCCCGCCCCTTCCCCTCAGCGGCAAAAGGCACCTGCGATGCAAAAATCCGGATCTAAAGCTGAAAATAAAGCAAGCTAAAGCCTAAAGTAATTCTAAACTACGGTAACTCTAAGTAGCAGTGTTCCAAGTTTTTGCATAGTTCCAGGGTGGGAGGGAACCCTCCTCTTCGCCCCCCCCCCCCCCCCCCCCCCCCCCCCCCCCCCCCCCCCCCCCCCCCCCCCCCCCC